AATACTGCGATTTTAATGTGTCATTTGATGCACTATTACTGACATTTCATTTACAGAGAGATTTAGATGCTTTATGAGTAGCTTTATTTAAATTCAAATGCATTTCAAATGTGATTTTGTGTTTGTGTCCAACAAAGTCACAGACCCTCCATCATACTTAACAGTGGGCACCAGGTTCGTTTCAGTGTATTTTTCCTTCTTCTTTATGCCAAACCCACCTTGAGTGTCTGTTGCCAAGAAGCTCATTTTTCATTTCATCTGACCATAAAACACAGTTCCAGTCAAAGTCCCAAAAGTGTTTGGCAAATTCTGGACACTTAGTTTTGTGGCTGAATGACAGGAAAGATTTTTTTTTCCTGGCATGATTTCCAAAGAATCTGTTGAGGAGGAGGTATCAATAGTTGTTTTGGACACTTGGTGACCCCAAGATGCTGCTTTTCTGTGACTCTCCAGTGGTGATCCTTGGGGATTTTTTGCCTCACTGTGGGGTTCTCATCCAGGCAAATTTGTCACAGCTCCAGTTGATTGGACCTTTTTTCCAAGTTATTGGTAGCTATTTTTTATAGCTATTTCCTGACTTATGACCCTGAATGAAATTTTAATTACTATGACTGCAACGTGACAGAAGGATTCAGACACTCACAGTTTAGAAGACAAAATGAGGCTTTAATGATTGAATAAAAATCCAAGGTCGTGGTCAGTACACAGGCATAGGTCAAATCCAGGAAAGACAACGAGTACAAAAAGGGTCAGGCAAAAAGGCAGCGTCAATAAACAGGCAGAAATGTTCATAAACAAGAATCACAATAAACAAAAGAAACCGCTCAGTAGATCTGTAATAGATGCAATACCTCACAACTAAGCTATGGTAAAGCTTAAATACTAAAGGCTTAAATACTAAACTATGATAGTCACATGATAAAACCAACAGGTGAACAAGATTAGTATTCTGGAGACTGGGAGCGCTAATTGGAGCGTGAGGGAGTCGTGAGTCATGTGATCTCCCAGAGGATTCTGGGAGATGGAGTTCAAGTGAGTCTCAGACTCAGAGGTATGTGTGACAATGACAGTCATCTCAGGATTTAAGTTTACATGTGTGAAAATTACATTTCAGGTAGTAAATATTTAATTTTGACATCAGGAATCTGATTTATGTATTATATTACATATTAAATATTGACTAGGCAGTTTCTGCTAGTAAGAAATAAGTTGTTAGTTGAAAAATATAATTTTAAATTTTCAATAAAATACATTGTAAATTGAAAAATAGTATTAAAAACCAAAACTGCAATAAAATAAAACATGTCAAATTACTTTTCACTCATTTGGATAACAAGTTAAACCTATTTTCCATGCACAGATCTGATAGAGGAGGCTGTTTTAGGTACAGTGTCAGTTAAATTTGCCAATCTGAAATTCTTCTCAAGCAGGTCTTTTTTTAAAATGCTCCCCTACAACTGTTAGAATGTTTACCATAATGTTCTGTCCAAACAGATTAGAATTTGTCTTTTAAATGTATTTTAGGTTATACAGCTGAGTGAGTGAACTTGCCTAATTTGTTGAATATTTGCTAACATAATATAACTTGGCTTGCACTGGCCCAGAATGTCTTCATTTGCCCCATAAGTCCCATAACCTTATATAGGAAAGTGGCCTAATGTACTTGTATGCACATGTGAATAGAAACACAGTGTAAATTATTAAAATGCATTGTGTCATAAGGAGTGACTCTCTCAGTGCTCGTGAGTTTGGTTTTCCTTGTACGAAGAATCATTTCACTCACATGTCAGATTAGTTTTTACCACGTGAGTCTGGTTTTCCTTGCTTGTGAACTTTGAACTGGATTTGACGCCATACATTTTCACTGATTGTTGATTCTTTCACTTGTGTCTCGGAGCGTCTTACGTAGAACATCTCGGTCTAGTAACAGTAGCTGTGCTTCCACTATTAGACTTTTGAACTTCACAGTCTTAACTGTATTTAATTTATTTTTATGTTTGTTACTTTATTGAGATTGTGAGTGTTTTGTATATGAATGTGCATTGTTTGTGTGTTTGAGCAGCACCAAAAGAATTTCCTCTTAGTCAAGTACTGACTGATATGAAAAAAGCATTGAAACTTGATTTGAAGTTTATATTTCCTTGCTGTGATTTGCGGCACAAACAGGTAGCATCTTAATGTTTTTCCTCAAATTACCTGAAAAGGGTGCATTAGCTAATAAATATTTTGTGTTTAGTTGACAAACATAAATAAATAAATAAATAAATAAATAAATAAATAAATATTTCTCCACACAAAATGATCCCCGCTGACTACAGAGTTCTGGACTAAACTCACCCCCCCCCACCCTTTAGATCTTTTGATCCTGTCAAAGCCCATGCCTGTGTTCTCGAACTTTAAGTACCAAATAAATGAGAGATCCTTGTGTGTTTAAAGACCACTATTTCACTTTATCTCATGCCAGTCGTACTGCCCTGTTTAGCAGAAAAACTCATTTCTGTTTTGTCCTCCTGCCTCTTCACTGCAGGTGTTACCTTTACTATATTTCAGGCACCATTTTTAACTAGTCAACTGTTGCACACAGGGATGTCTAGTGAATTTATTAGTTGACTAGTCTGTTCATGCCCTATAAACCATTATTCTTGGTGTTGTAATTATACACAGCCATATTTTAGCTCATTTCTTTCCATTCAGATTAGATGTTTAATATAAGTGTTATGTTTAGAGTCACACAAGCATTATAACACTGTTTTCTGAAACAAAGTGCATCTTTAGAACTTTGTGAAAACGAATGTAAACCCTGCAAGTTTTAAATCTGATTGAGCATTTATTTATTTAAGTGAGCTTTTATGAAGAAAAACGTGCTGAAAGTAAGTTTGCAAGCATTTAACAAAGATTAGGTATTTAGGAAATCTGAACTGGAATTAGCTCTGGAATTTTATTGAAATTAAATTTCAAAAGTTATGTTTATAGGGTGTGTTACCGGCAGACAATGCACAGCTGTCACACTTTTGAAAATAATATAAACAATACAAAACTCACAGTCTTAAATATCATAAATACTGCAGCATAGGAGATGTAACTACCTAACCATGTAACTATGATACAAAACATGTGCTGTTTAGCAAGTTTGTTTGCAAGGATTCAAAATAGATTCATTGTAATTTACAATTTGTAGGAAAACAGAACTTTGTTTAGCTCTGGAATTTATAAAGTCTTAAATTGGGAATGTGTGATTGTCTAGATGATTCTGAGCTAATTGTCTCTCTCCGAGTCTTCATGATCTGTGGAACAAACACAGAGTGGGGTGAGTCAAGATTAAACTGAGGACAGTATATTTTGCCAAAACAAAAAGAAACAAACAAAGAAAAGCTGCATATAGTCCAAGTAGCCTTCTGAAGTAGCTAGGATCTTTCCCCAAGAAGGAAGCTGGCGGTTTCCTGAGGCCGTTGTCTGTAAATGAACTAGTTGTTTGTAAAGAAAAAAAGGGAGGATGGTGGGAACAGCAGTCTGTAGCCCAGCATGACTCACTCTTTCTGTCTGAAACAACTGGTAGTCTTGGGCTGTTGAAATGAGGTGCAGCTGGTCTCTCATTAGCCCATCCCAGCTATGAGGTGAGAGTGTGACTCGTTTCCAGGCCACGTGAAGTCTGCTGTCTACAACATTGGTGCTGAAGTACTTTCCCTGCTTCCTCTTCAGCAATGTTGACAAGGCCCACAACTCCTGGGTTGGTCTGATATGCCCTGCACAGGTGGAGACTTTGTCACAGACTCTGTGACAGTTAAAACAAAATATGGACAGATAGATAAATAGATCTCTATTAATCCTGCAGGAAATTACTGCATTACAGAAGCAAGACATGTAATTGCATGTAAACTATGAGAGAATAGGAATAGAAAAGTAAAAAAAATAGATATCCACATAAGTAAGTAAATTGAGTAAAAAAAGTCACTGTTTACAAAAACAGAGCTACTGAAACAGGCAGTCAACTTGAGCAGCACAGGAAGGTGATATTAAAAAAAGAAAAACATGCATATGTCATTAAATATGTGTTACAGTGATGTAGAATCATTATAATTTTTAAATTTGTGTATTGAAGGATCACCTCTGGAATCTGATCAGTGCCTGTGTTTGTAAAGTCATAGTAAATAAGAGAGGAATCTGATGTTTAATCAGCATTTATATTCTGAGAAGCTTTGTGAATATGACCCAATGTCTCTGTTCTGTCACTGCTAATAGCCTGAAAAAAGTTTATATATACAGGTGTGCTTTACCAGATGATCAATATTCATAAAATGCACACAGATTTAACATAATGTTAATACCTAAGCAGTCAGTCTTTGTATCAACGAGACAATAGACATGTGTGTTCAAAAAGTGCTGGTTGGCTGTCTAAATCTATAATAGTCTGTAAACATATCCATTTTTGGCACATCATACTCATTGGTGGTTTAAGTCATGCATGCTTTCAGTTTGTAATAAAAAGGGCAAAATAAACAAGATTTGACAATACCAATCCCTGGTACGAAGCTAATGTGGATTGAACAATGTTTTCTTGTATTTCTTCTTCTGACTGTGGCTTTGGATAAAAGTACTTGTTACATTTGATACTGACTTGATATGGTCTGAAATTGTTTACCATTTGTATTGTTGCTGAATTTTTACCAAAATATTTTTCCATTCTTAGAATTTAATTTTTGTTTATCTTTGGCATAGCATGTACATTTTGGCACCCAAACAACATCATTAATATTCATTAGTTTATCATGATTGGGTTTTATGTAGGAGATGTGCAACAATACTATAGTGGCATGGACAGACTGGTGAACTAATGACCAGCATGGTGATTTTATGAATAAATTCATTGCTGCACTGCACATTTTGTGGTTTGTAGTGTGGTTACTGCTGCATGAATCTGACCCAATATTCACAACTAAAGATCAAATCATTAAAGAAAAACTCTTAACTCCTCTGATATTTGATCTCCCACCCTCATTTCATCTGTTCCGTGTGCTATGTTTATCATTCCTTTTTGCAGACTAGCCGGCTATAATTTCACCAAGGACCTCTGTGAACCTCTTTGCTCTGCTCTACAATCAGCGAAGTCCTCCCTGAAAGAACTAGACCTCATTAACAATGACCTACAAGATTCAGGACTGGAGCTCCTCTCTGCTGGGCTGAAGAGCTCACACTGTAAACTGGAGACACTCAGGTGAACTTTCTGTTAAAAACATTAAGCTGAGATAGCACAGAAAACTGTAACTAATGTCATTATTTATGATATTTTTATTCATGTGGAAAATCATGATGTAATTTTTCTTTTATTCTATTTAGAAACATACAAGTATACTGTAAAATGTGTTATCTCCCTTTGCAGACTAGTTATTTGTAATATTGGACAAAAGGCTTGTGAAAATCTAGGATCCATTCTAAAATCAGCAAACTCCTCACTGACAAAACTGGATCTTAGTAACAGTGATCTGCAGGATTCAGGGGTGGATCTGCTCTCTGCTGGACTGAGGAGTTCACAATGTAAACTGGAGAAACTCGGGTAAGAATTCCCAAATCAGATTTGAAACTAAACATATTAAGATCTGGTATTTAATAATATTTAGAACTAAATAGATAAAGTGGTGGTATATGGTTCAATTAACAAGAGTGTGACAAATTAACAGTTTGATGACCTGAGGGTAAATAAATATTCCTGAGTTTGATGTCTTGTACAGGAAGCTCTGGTAATGTTTGCTGGACAGCAAAGAGTCAGACTGTCTGTGGCTCTGGTGTGAAGGGTGGAGACAATACTGTGGACTTTCCTAAAACATTTCTTCTATTAATGTCTTTGATTGGTGGCAGTGACATGGCAGTAAAGAACTTTGTAATAGTGAAATTTGCCTGTGGTGCAGTTTTCCATGCTGTGGTAGATAAATAGATATTTTATTGATGCCAAAGGATCAATATAGTACCTTGCAATCTGCTCTCCCCCCAGCATCTGTATATAATGGAGACAGGCATCTTAGGACAAACATTCTTCATCCACCACAGGACGTATCTGAGCCTTTTTCACAAGCTTGGAGACATTAATTGTCTATGAGAGATCTTTAGTAATGTGTACTCCATGGTCATATACTGCATGGCCAAAAGCATATTTACATTTGCAACATTTAGTAGATACTTTTTATAGAGCAACTTTCAAAAATGCTTTGTTATCTACTGTGAACATGTTTAAGTTAGTAAAAACAGCCTCATCTCAAATGATATCTTTGAGCAAAAACACTGCCAGAGACAGGATTCTATGCTGCTACCTTGATCGGTCAAACTTTATTTTGACTCAGAAGTACTTTAAGATGAATTGAGAAGTGCAATGAAAATGAAATGAAAAATTGCAAGACAAGGATTTATAAAGAGATAAAAAGAAATAAAAATAACAGCATAAAATAGCAATACAATATATGCATGTAATGCAAATGTATGTAATGAAAACACAGTAAAAGTGAGTAAAAGAAAAATCCAAGATAATAAGCAATAAGAAAACTAAAAATCTTAGAAATCAAATTATTTACTAAAATTGAACAATACAAGATTTGACATCAAATAAAACAGTTGCAATGAAATAGTTAATAAAATAAATTTAAAATAAAAACAAAATAAAATAAAATGAGAAGTTAAACTCAATTAAAACAGATATAGTCTGTTTGAAGGTGGTTAGAGACTAAAAGTTTAGAATGACTGACTGACTGATTGGGTTTTAGAGACTCTTGTGGTAAATTCCAGGTCTCTGGTGCTTGGTAGCTAAAAGCAAATCTGAGCCTCTGTCTGCACTTACTGACTATTTTATTAATATGAAATTTAAATGTAAGCTTCTCATCCAGCCAAATGCCAACTCAGGGTAGTAATATTCACAGTATTAAAATCTATATTTGAAAATCTGGAGGACAGCATAAACTTAGTTTTCGTGGCATTTCAAACTAATTTGTGCTTGTACAGAGCGTTCTGTAAGGCATTAAATGAGCAAAAGGAGGCATTCTATTGCTGTATGAGCAGATTTGGCTGTATAAAATCATGTCATCTGTGTACAAATACTATATATATATATATATATATATATATATATATATATATATATATATATATGTTTAGAGATATATAGATAGATATGATTAAATCTGATTAATGATTACCCATTTCAGTAATGTAGAACACCACAAACAGTTAAGTACTTAATGTGTAATACAAATCTTCCCACAGCTGGTGTCAGAATTTGGAATCTAAGACATAGACTCACTCAAAATGACGTACAAAAGTTACATATATCCGAAAAATCTCTGCTGCTGTGTGTGTGTGTGTGTGAGTGTGTGTGAGTGAGGGGTTAAATGTTCCTGTTGCTTTTGGAATATATGATATATGTGTGTATATAATTGTGTACTTAATATGTCTATTTTTTACATTTTAACTGAGCCTTGCTGAACCTAACTGAACCAAACTGAACCCTCCCAATAGGGTAGCTTCCTTGGGGGAAAAGGGTCAAATCTTCTGGATGTTGTAGAGAGAAAACTTATATAACTGAGTCAGGTTTGTAATGCACAGAAAAAGATAACTGATTGTCCAGGACTGCACCAAGACACTGAGCATATTCAGATACACAGTGAGGACCTTTATTTACAGGCATGCCTAGCAGCTTGGTTTTCCTTGGACTTAGCTTAGGTTAGGTGAGGGCTGCCATCTATGATTCCAAAATACAGTGTGCCAGTTTGGCGCTGGACTGGTCGGGATGCTGGAGCTGATTCTGAGTAAGAAAGAGAGATAACGGTTTATGAGCAGAGAGTTCTAGGATTTTTGAAAGTAACAAAGGAGAGATACAGGTTAGTATTTGACAATGGAGATGTCCAGAGAGGAGTTCTTCACATTGGTAGTCTTGCATTTGCATGTGAACCTTCTTTCTAATTGGTGGTTTTAGCTACACCTATTGCTAACAGGTGCATAAAGTCCACCTCACTGTCTCTACAATTATTGTTCATGTTATCAGCTCCACTGACCATATAGTTCCACTTTGTAGTTCTACAGTTACAGACTGTAGTCCATCTGTTTCTCTGATACTTTGTTAGCCCCCTTTTACCCTGTTCTTCAGTGGTCAGGACCCCCATGGACCCTCACAGAGCAGGTACTATTTGGGTGGTGGATCATTCTCAGCACTGTAGTAACACTGACGTGGTGGTGGTGTGTTAGTGTGTGTTGTGCTGGTCTGAGTGGATCAGACACAGCAGTGCTGCTGGAGTTTTTAAACACCTCAGTGTCAATGCTGGACTGAGAATAGTCCACCAACCAAAAATATCCATCCAACAGCGTCCTGTGGGCAGCGTCCTGTGACCACTGATGAAGGACTAGAGGATGACCACACAAACTGTGCAGCAGTAGATGAGCTTTTTTCTCTGAATTTACATCTATAAGGTGGACTGACAAGGTAAAAGTGTCTAATAGAGTGGACAGTGAACTGTATTTAATGAAGTGGCTGGTCATTGTGCACTGGCATTAGAATGGGTCATACTGGAGAGCCCAGTGACTTTCAATGTGGCATGGTCTGAGGATGGCAACAAGTACGCCCTTTAAAATTCTTCTGATATCAACAGTGGTAAAAACTAGGCTCCAACTCATGGCTGTTAAAAGGGTTAGGAGACTAAAGATTCCAATAACTGAAAATATTGGCTGGTATAATTTAGATTTTTTTTTTAATTTTAAGTCAAGGATAAACCCATTGTCTGTGACCTTTAACAGTGAAAGTAATTTATCTATGCACACACAAACAACCACACAATGGATAGCTTCAACCAAATGGCATATTTATTGACTAAATATCACATGTTAAGATGAATAATACGGTCACAATAAAATTGATTAAGATGATGCAAATAGGACATCAGATACAGTGATTAATGAAGGGAAAGCTAGTAACCAGGAAAAAAGAAAAGGTGTCTAAACCTACACAGATCACACAGTGTCAACCATTTGAGCACATGAATGAGACCAAAGGCCTTACTCTGATTGGGAGAGGAAGCTGGGAACCTCAGCCAAGGGCATGGTGTAGGACCCAGAGCCCCTGGAAGGATTCTGAGTTCTCTGGTGGCTCTGTGGGGTCAACTCATGTCAGTTGAAACAGCTTCACTACGGCAGTAATACAGGCTGCTGGTCAAGAGCAGAACTTAGTCATTACCAGCAGTGACTGCAGGGGTGATTTCAAAGGCTACTGTTTGACAAGACAATTTGCAGCTGCTGGTGCTGCTGTTGATATGGCTCTGACAGCTTTTGGAACCAGGCTGGACTTCTTGACACAGGCTTTGCCAGACTTTGGTTTGAATATGCTCAGAGTTTTGAGGCTGCGTGAACCTTTTCCTAAACTAATTTGCCCAGCTGGTAGAGATTTGACAAAAAGTGATCTGTTGCAACACATTTCCGTATCTCTCTCGCAGCGTAGCTTGGAGAGAGATAAGGGGTATACAGTGCTTACAGTGGGTATAAGAACAAATAAAACAAAGACACTTTGCAGATCTGGAAAGTTGGAAGCAGAATTGTCCAAAATGATTTCCCTTCACTGGAACTAAGGGTTCTAGGCCAACCCCTGAAAAACAACCACATATCATTATCCCTCCCCCAAACTTTACAATTGGCACAAGTCCAGTGGCCGTGTGCTTTACAGTGCCATGTTTAAAGTCATTGAGCTTGTCAGTACGACGACCCTTTCTACTGCCAGTGTTTTTCTGTCAAGACTGCACTATGTGCTTAATTTGATCCACCTGTTAGTAATGAGTGTGGCTGAAACACCTGACTTCAATAATTAATTGAGAAGGTTTATTAATAATAATAATTAATGGTGATTTTACCTTTGTGTGAAGTACTAGGTTGGCAAAGCCATCCCAATAAAAAAAAGAGAATGAAATACATGTTGACGAAATTAAACTAGTAAAACAAAAATAATATTCATTAAACGATATGAAATTTTAGCAATCATCATGTAAAGTTGTGAAACTAAGTATTTCAGTTAATGAAATGAGCAGTTTTGAAAAGGTGTGGTATGATTTATTTCTGTCACTTCGCATTCATTAATTTAAAAAATCATAAGTCACAAAATCATAATCATATCATGATTATATACAATAAGCATATCATGTTTGGGCTGTCCAGTCTTTTTGTGACAAATCAGGATGATTAGTTATCACTTGGAGTTGAGAATGAGTTTATTTTGATTTTCAATTCCAAAGAGTTTCTCTGTTAGGCACTGTTCTGCTTGACCCCTAAGACAAATTGTGAATTCCTGGGCTTGCTGTTGACCCCCCTGCAGAGTTCACCTCAGTGATAAACGGTGTGATAACCCCTCATCAGGTCAGAATGCCCCCTGAACAGTGGTATCGTAAAAGTAAATTGGTTTGTTGCCTTAATCCCTGTTTATAACTCTATAGTCAAACTGAGTGGCTCCAAGAGCCATTAAATCTGAAGGTGTAGTGATTTTCACAAACAAAGTAGATCTTTCAGATGAACCAGGTTGCTGTCTTCACTACGAGATGATCTTAGGCTGACATTACACAGTGAAATGCCCATGCAACTAGTTGTGTGTTGTGAGTTGCCTGGTAAGGTGCATGTAAATTATATTGTACATTTCAAGCAATTAAAAAATGAGTTGAGAGTTTTTCCTGTATCTATTTATCTGTCTTTTATCTATGTGTTTGGAGTTCTTTATTATACTTTTGTCATCTGCTGTTCAAGCTCTATGCCTCACTTATTCTGCACTGATTCATCAAGGAGTGAATCCTAGTCTCCTCCTCTGTAATAATTTCCCTCCTTTGGTTGACAAATGAACCTGAATTCTGTAAAATTAGGGGGCATTAAAAGTGGAGAAATAAATCTCGCTGCACAAATCAGGATAACAGCAGCTTAAGAAGAATAAATGCTAAATCAAGCCACCATCTAAACAGCTGTTAGCATTGGCTGGCTTGTTACTGGAGCTGGGTACAGAAACGTCAGCTTTGAGAGACTCATATTTGTGGTCATGCCTCAGGAAACTGACAAAGTGAAAAACTACCAACTTTGAGTCTCCTTTTCAGCTGCCCAGTACACCATCTTCTTTTTTATCCTCTTGTCCACTGACATGGTCATAACAATTAAAGTTGCAAGAAAGTTTGACTGTGTAAAGCAGTGTTTTGTACATCTTTGAAGGAAAGAGTGTTCTACAGATTTACCATCTACTTGCACAGATGTCTAGGAGTCAAAGAAACTTGGCTTTAAGCTGGGCTGAAAAGCCATTGAACCACACTGAACTTCAATATAGCAAAACAGTTTTAATGGTAGAACAAATCACTCATCACTCATAGTATCCCTCTTCTGTTTTGTAGTGGTTTAACATAGAGTTTTGATCACAACACTGGATTTTTTTTAATATACATGAAGTTTAGCTACAGTATACACTGTCACTAGGGGGAGACAAATAATAATAATAGTATTCAACCGAATAATAGTGTTCAATCAAATTCTTGTGGAAAATAGAATGGTATTAACTGACAGCCAGTGGTTCAATTTGTTGTTTCATATTGTCTCTTTAATTGTGTAGGCTTGAATTTTAGCAATTATGTTGGTATTCAAAGGGTAAATTAGTGAAGATTTTTGCTTTTTGGGTGTGTTGGTTGTGTTTCCCATTGACACAGTAATCTGAATTCCACCCTGCCTCCCTCACTTAATTTTCCCCTGCTCACCTGCTGATTGTCTAAAATCCTCCACATATGTAGATAGCTTCTCCTCGCATCTCCTTCTGCCTGTTGATTGTCTCACTTCCTTGGATATGTAAGTCAACAGCCTGGGAGTAACCTGGTCCCTGAATTATGCTGTATTCTGTAAGCTTAGTGGTATATTTAGAGTATTAACTGAATCGCTTATACTCTTCTGGGACTTCAAAACAGCACATTGGGTCATCAGTTGCACAGTCAAACTATGTCTGATAGACAGTAGCAATGTTACAAGTAGTAATCCATTCATATGCAAAGTTTTATCCAGACTCACAACAAAAACAAACTGCAAACATTTGACCTTTGAAGTAACATAAACAAATGTTATGAGCATCACCTTCCATGTGATACACCAGAAGTAGTAACTGTTATACAAACCCAATTACAAAAATGTAAGACAGCATGTAGAATGTTAATAAAACAGCAAGTCAAAGTCAGCTTTGACATTTGTTCTCATCACAGATTTGTTGAGACAGTAACAAAATGTACTTTCTCCAGAGCACAGGACTACATTTAACATATCCAGTACAGTTCCAGAGACATGTAGAATCTATGACAAGGCATGACACTACAAAGGGAAAAACAAACAGTCAAACACCAGGAAACAGGTCACTGTAAAACAAGCAGGCTAACAAAGGGTCGCAGGCAAATTTCAAATTTTCATTAATTTAAAAAATCATAAGTCACAAAATCATAATCATATCATGATTATATACAATAAGCATATCATGTTGGGGCTGTCCAGTCTTTTTGTGACAAATCAGGATGATTAGTTATCACTTGGAGTTGATATGAGTTTAGTTTAATTAAGACCAGAAGGCAGTCAAAGTAATGACTACAAATGAACAGCTCAGAAATTAGCAAACACCAGACACTATGCAAAGTAAGAAAGAAAGGCACAAGTGAGCCAGGTAATGGAAGGCATCAGTCAGATGTAAAACAAACATTTTATCAATATGAATGCTAGCTAGTGACCAATAGCAATAGTTTGTCTGCTCTGCATGCCTTGTGCCTTTCAGAGCAGGATATATTTGCTGGATTGAAAAAAAAATTAACGTTCCATTTGCATTCATGTTTATATACGTATCTAGACACATAAACTTAGTTAAGTGATAGAATCATAGTCAACTGAGAGCATTAACAACCATCCTAGTCTGCCACCCTAGTTATCCTAGTCAATTTTATTTTTTAAATTGCTTTGATTTTTGATTTCAGGGTTAATCTCTCATTTTGTGAATTTTGGTGTTTGTAACTGCAGCTGTAATTGCCATCTGTCACTTTTTTTCTTCCTTTCTGCAGATTGTCTGGTTGTATGGTTACAGTTAAAGGCTGTTCTTCTCTGGCATCAGCTCTGAAATCAAACCCCTCCCACCTGAGAGAACTAGATCTGACCTATAATCACCCAGGAGAGTCTGGAGTGAAGATGCTGTCTGAGCTAAAGGAGGATCCACACTGTGCACTGGAGAAACTCAGGTGTGTGTGTGTGTTTGTGTGTGTGTGTCTGTGTGTGTGTGTGTGTGTGTGTGTTTGTGTGTGTGTATGTGTGTGTGTATGTGTGTGTGTGTGTGTGTGTGTGTGTGTGTGTTTGTGTGTGTGTGTGTGTTTGTGTGTGTGTATGTGTGTGTGTGTGTGTGTGTGTGTGTGTTTGTGTGTGTGTGTGTGTTTGTGTGTGTGTATGTGTGTGTGTATGTGTGTGTGTGTGTGTGTGTGTGCATGTGTGTGTGTGTATGTGTGTGTGTGTGTGTGTGTGTGTGTGAGTGAGTGTGTGTGTGTGTGTGTGTGTGAACATTTTCCCTCCCAGAACCTGGTACATTACTGCCATGCCTTTGCCAAGAATGCTTAGGCTTTGAGTCATTCAAACCTGCAGGCCTTTTTTTTCGCAGTACCAACTGGCACTTCTGAAGGTCAGTTTTTACTGCTTCTTTTGGTGGTTTGCCAAGAGAATAATGTAAAAATATATTCAAAATTTTATTTATTTGTACATCACTTTTTACATTTTGCATTGTGACAAAGATGCTTTGCAGAAATCCTGATCCAAGCTCCAAGTTTACAAGTCAAAGGTGGCAGAGGCAAAGGAGAACTCCATAAATGCAAAAGGAAAAACTTTCAGAGAAACCAAGAGTCAAAAATCAGATCTTGTTCTAAATTCCTTAGTATTGGTAAAAGAGTGTTCCTTAGGAAGTCTCACAGAAGCCATTTTGGACTGTTATAAATGAAGCTTTAATGTTGACACTGGGTAACCAAGCTTAAGGAAAAGGGAGTAACAATTACATTTTGTACACATTATCTCACAAAAGTGAGTCCACCCCTCACATTTCTATGTCTTATATCTTTTCATGGGATAACACAATAGAAATTAAACTTGGATATAACTTAAAGTAGTCAGTGTACAGCTTGTATAGCAGTATAGATTTACTGTCCTCTGAAAAGAACTCAACACACAGCCATTAATGTCTAAATAGCTGGCAACACAATGGGCTGAATGCGGAGCAGGGCTGTTAAATTTGGTGTTTAGGGACAATTCAAACAAGGACATCAGCCAGCTGTTCAGTGCATTCTCTGAACACTCTGCCCGGTATGCTGTCAGATCCTGGTGCTTTCCGTGGGCTGACTCTGAGCAGAGTTCTCCGGACATCAGCTGTGGACAGACACAGTACCTGTTCACAGGAGGTGTGGTTTTCCTCGCCGTCGTGCCGTTCTGAGCTTCAAACCGAGCATAGAAGTTATTTAGCGTATCTGGAAGGGAGGCATCACCGTCACAAGCAGGTGGAGGTGTCTTGTAGTTGGTGATGGCCTGGATGCCCTGCCACATGCGCCGTGTGTCAGCAGTGTTTTGAAAATGATCATGGATTTTCTTTGAGTAGGCACACTTTGCCTCTCTGATGGCCCAGGAAAGCTTGGATCTTGCTATCCTGAGGCTTGCTCTGTCCCTTGACTTGAAAGCCTTGTCACGGGTTCTCAGCAGCATGTGCACCTCTGCAGTCATCCATGGTTTCTGGTTGGGGTGAGTTGTGATGAGTTTGGAGACAGTAACATCATCAATGCACTTGCTGATGTAGTCAGTCACTGATTCTGTATACTCCTCCAGGTTGGTGGAGTCGCCGGAGGTTGCTGCTTCTCTGAACCTCTCCCAGTCAGTGTGCTCAAAACAGCCCTGAAGAGCAGAGATAGCTCCTGGTGGCCAGGTTCTCACTTGCTTCTGGTCTGGTTTGGCGCGTCTGATGAGCGGTCTGTATGCTGGAATGAGCATCGCAGAGATGTGGTCTGAGTAGCCGTAGTGGGGGCGGGGCTCAGCCCTGTACGCGCCGGGGATGTTTGTGTAAACAAGATCCAGCACGTTAGCCCCCCGGGTTGCAAAGTCCACATACTGGTGAAATTTTGGGAGCACTGACTTCAAATCATCATGGTTGAAATCTCCAGCGACAATAAACAGTCTGTTCATAGTTCATAGTTCATTTTGCGACATCCACCGAGAAATATCTGACACACAGCTGGTCAGTCTGTCTACAGAGTCTTCAGAAAGAATGGAAATGTATAACTGGGTGTCGTCAGCATAGCTATGAAAACATATGTAATGCTTCCTAGTAACATCACTTAAAGGTAGCATGTACAAAGAGAAAAGCAGAGGCCCTAAGACTGAATCCTGAGGGACTCCACAAGAATAAAGCTGACTTGACTTGACTTGACTTGACTTGAAATGTCAAATCTTTTTGATAAATGATTTCCAAGTGAAACTATGAACTGCCTATTACCTAAATATGATTTAAACCATTAAACTAAAACTGTGCCCAAGAGGCTGACCCAGCATTAAAGATTCTGGATTTAAATCTTGTGGTCGACAATATCAAAAGGTGCAATAAGATCTAATAAAACCAAAATAGAAGGATTTTGTGCATCAGTGCTGAGCCTGAGGTCATTCATAATGCGAACACAATCAAAAACATCTTAAGGAATGAAGTAGGAACAGGGTCAAGTTCACATATAACAGAGAAAGATGCCTTTACTCATGTAGGTGGCTTATCAAGAACATTATAGGAGCTTGTTTCAGTCTGCTGAGCTACACCCTGTCATATCAGGTCTATTTTAGACCAGACTTTAGAAGATAAATCATCATGAAACGTACCAGCTGGGGTCATTTAGTTGGTCCATGGTGGAAAAAAAAGGATTTTGGTATTATCTTTGTGTCTGTTTATTACACTGGAGAGATATGACTGTCTGGATATTTTCATAGCATTATTATAGACTGAGATCTGATCTTTGAGAATATCATAATGTACCTGCAGTTTAGTTTTCCTCCATAAGCGTCTGATTTATGACAATTTCTCTTAAGTCAGCGTGTTTCTAACATTCACCCATGGATTTTTAAGAGTACACAAGCTTTTCTTTTTTACTGGAGTGAGAATGTCAAGCGTTTCCTGTGATCTGGCACTTAGATCGGAGACTAGATCATTACAGGATGGAGTCAGATCTGTATTTGCTGAACTATTATAAATGGTTTTAAACTTCAACTGTTTGTCAGTCAATGTTACGTTTTTTAAAGTAACTTTCAGGCTGTTTCTTCTTTACTAATAAATTGATTTGAAAGAAAAAACAGAAATGATCTGATATGAAAACATCAGAGATTTGGGACGCATTTGTGATTAAACCTTCGCTGATCACCAGATCCAGGATGTGACCTAGCTTGTGGGTCGAGCTGCCCACATGCTGCTCCAAATCAAATGTCTCTAGAAGAGCAATGAGTTCTAATGCTATTTGAAGGCCTATCGATATGTAAGTTAAAGTCCCCAGACAGAAGAGTCTTATCATAGGTTGTGGATCCAACTGATAATAATTCCGCAATTTCTGACAAAAATGTACTATTTTGCTTTGGAGGTCAGTATATTACAATTATTAACACTGGCGTATCCAATCCAGTCCAGTCAGGCCTGGAGTAGTACTTTCTCGATATTCTCGGACAAGATAACAGACCCACGGCGGCTCGGGTGTAGTCTGTCCCTGTGGTAAAATGCCAGTCATTCCCAGAAAACATTCCAGTTGCTCACGTAGCCGACGCCGTTGTTCTTACACCAGCCTTGGAGCCAGCAGTGCAGCGAGTAGAGCCTGCTGAACACCTCGCTTCCTCCCCGGTAGGTGGGCAGCGGTCATTCCCCCTTTCTTTCCTGGCAACTGCTGCAGCTCTCTGCTCAGCGTCCAGAGCTCGCGTTCAGTGGCGGCTGCCATTTTGTCAGCGTCCAAACAAAGAAATAAAGGTTAAAAAAAAAACAACAACATTGTACATCTAAGAGAAACAAGTTACAAAATAAATATTCAGTTAAAGAAAGTAACTTGAAAGATTAATAACAAAGTAAAAGAGCAAAAAATAACAAACGATGAACGAGCAAACCCAAACGTGCGAAACATGCAACCTGTTCAGTCACAAATGGCGTCAGCCTTGCACCAGTGCTAGCATTTAATCTCCAAGAGAGTTGATTAAACTCAGGATAACTTTCCTCAACAATGTAGAAATTGATGGATTATTTTGAAAAAATCCATTTTATACATCCTATAGAAATAAGTATATCCATTCTATTAGAGCTAGAAAAAATAAATATTTCAGTGAAAAATGAATGAGGTACTCAAGACAACAAAACAATAATAAATCAGTTGTTACAAAAAGAAAAAAAAATACTCATAACGATCCATCTGTTATAGCTCGTGAATTTAACCATTTTACAATAAATTTCCCTTTAAAAAATTCTCATTTTTTTTCTTTTAAATCTACTATCCAAGAAAAACGTGACACAATTGGTGGATTAAAAACATCTTAAGCTGGTCATAGCAATATTTCTGCATTCCTTGTCAAGCAGATGAAGGTATCAATATTGGAGCCACTTGCAGAGGATGTAAAAGTTTCCAATGTTATTCCAATATTTAAAGCAGGTGATCCATGTTGTTTTAATAATTATTGACCCATATCTATTTTGCCATGTTTTTAAAAGATGTTAGAAAATATATGGACATATGAAAAGACTGTTTTGTGGAGGGGATGATGTTATGAAAGAGAGTGGAGGATGAGAGGGATGACTGTGGAGACTCTGCTGGTGATGAGAGAGAGAGAGAGTGGAGGATGAGAGGGATGACTGTGGAGACTCTGCTGGTGATGAGAGAGAGAGAGAGTGGAGGATGAGAGGGATGACTGTGGAGACTCTGCTGGTGATGAGAGAGAGAGAGAGAGAGAGTGGAGGATGAGAGGGATGACTGTGGAGACTCTGCTGGTGATGAGAGAGAGAGAGAGTGGAGAATGAGAGGGATGTCTGTGGAGACTCTGCTGGTGATGAGAGAGAGAGAGAGAGAGAGTGGAGGATGAGAGGGATGACTGTGGAGACTCTGCTGGTGATGAGAGAGAGAGAGAGAGAGAGAGAGAGGAGGATGAGAGGGATGACTGTGGAGACTCTGCTGGTGATGAGAGAGAGAGAGAGAGAGTGGAGGATGAG